TTTGAAGCTTATAGGAAAGCTTATATTTCTCTTCTCTATTTTTACTTGGCCAATTTTTATCATGTTACTATCATGAATTTTGCATGTATCTTTCTCAAAATGAAGAGAATATCCATTATCCATCATTTGACCAATACTTAAAAGATTCTCTTTAAGATTAGGAACTAGTAAAACATCCTTGATGAATTTCGTACCTTTCTTTGTCTCCACCATGACAGTTCCTTTGCCTTGAGACTCCATTGTGGTGTCATTTCCTAACCGAACTTTGACATTGACAGATTTATCAATGTCTTTGAAGATGCTTTGATCTTTTGCCATGTGATTATTACATCTACTATCCAAGTACCAACTCCCTTGTCTACTAGGAGATTCTTCATTGACATAGAATAAGAGTTTCTCCATATTATCTTCTTCTGCAAAGTTTGCTTGATGTTGTTTTTTATTACGACAATACTTGTCTGTGTGACCAAATTTCTTGCAATACTGACATTGAGGTTTTCCAAGATGCCAATAATCTTTTTCCAAGTAACTTGTCTTTTTACATATGCCACATGAAGGATATTTTTCTTGACAAGTCATAGAGAAGTTTTAAAAATTTTCTTTATTTCTAGAAATTTCTCCTCTACTTTTGTTTACTTCATATTCTATATTTTGAGACCGTAATGTTAGTTTTGATTGAAAGACATTTTCATTGGAGTCTTGTTCATGCCTTTTCCATCTTTGTTGACAATGTAGTCAAATCTTTTGTTTGTTCAATCGCAGTTGCGATTGCATCATAGTATTTGGGAGTAGAAATTAAAATTTTCTCAATAATTTTTTTGTCAATAATATTTCTTATATTCTAGAATAATAGTCTTTAATGGTCTGAGATTCTTTCCTTCTTAATAATTCTAACTCTTATCTTAGAGCATGAAGTTTAACATTGCATACCTCATTACTTCCTTGAAACTCCTCTTATATTATGTTTCAAGCTTGCTTTGCACTTGTGGCACCAATTATCCTTGGAAAAATTGTGTCATCAACTGCTTATTGAAGAACAAATAAAGCCCTTGAATCCTTCTGCTTGTTTTCCTTCAACTCTTTCTTTTGAGCTATAGTAAGAGTGGAGGTGTCTTCTGGAATAGTGAATCTCTCCTCTATGATGTCCCATAAATCTTGAGAGCGGAAGAATGTCTTCATTTTGACACTCCAAAAATCATAATTTTCTCTTGTGAAAATAGGTACTAAAATTGATGATGTATGATTGGTAGAAGCCATGAGTTGAGAAAATATTTTAAGTATATAATGGAGTTGAACGTAGCTCTAATTAGTATTTTGAGGTTGTGAAAGGAATAGTTGATGGGATAGAAAAATATAGAGATAGTTGAATGTAGAGAAAACGTGGAGATAGCGGAATGTGGAAGTGATAGTTGGAAGAAGTGTTGTAGTCGTCTTTAGTTGAAGTAGATGTTAGCTTACAAGTTATTAGATGTTGGTTTCATACATCAAATGGTAGAGTACATGGGTATTTATAGACACATAGATTATTCTAGAACATGCTAGTCACAACTTACGTGGAATGTCCTAGATTTTAACTATGTAGAATATTTTTTATTTTTTCTTCCTATATCTTAGCCTTTTCTATAATATTTTAGAACTTTTATTATATTTTAATACTTCTATCTTACGACTTTTTTTACTTTTAGAATTTGCATTATACTTTAAGAAGTTAAAAACCACTTACAATGAGCATGCAACACTTACAATGATATAGAATATTCTGAGTCCATGAGAAATCAGTTCCACTCTTGAAGGAGGAAGGCCTACTGGCAAGAACTTTGAGAGGAGTATTTCCGTCCTTGTTTCGCGCGCTGACAAGTTGAGGATAACAATGAGTTATCATAATCGCCAAATCTGCAAAATCATCACGCATACTATCAAAATCATTAAAAAAGAAAATATAATAATTAGGCAAAGTGAAATGGTAATTAATTACCCAAGAATTCTCCCCAGATGGCTCGGTGAAGGATGGTGTCTCCATGATAGTCCCTGTGTTCATCATCTAAATCTTTGGAAACATTGTGAAGGTACACAAAGGCCTCTGTTTGACATGTGTGCACGGCCCTGAAAAGAGGTGTTTCACCCTCGTAGTTCCTAACCCTAATCAAATCCTTCCTTTCACCATTTTCCCCAATGATGCACATGCACATGTCAATGAACCCTCTTGAGGCTGCAAGGTGCAAAGGAGTGTCACCTCTCTCATTCGTTGATCTCAGTGCACTGTCATCCCTCACCACTTCCCTCCCTTCGTGATTCAATATTGCTCCAACAAGAATGTTAACAGGCTCCAGTTCCCCATCATTCACTGCAAAATGCAGTGCAGTGCCTCTGCTTTCGTTGATTCTGATTTTGTGTAACTCACTCTCGTTTCTGTATGCAGGAATCACCAACTCCCATTTTCCTTCCAACACCCACCCTCGGAACAGTGATATCTCATCCTCTTCGCCTGTTCACTCAACATATCATCAACTTACGGAAACTATATAAATACTATTTATGCACTGAATCATGATCTTTTTTCATGTAAAATGAGATTTGTATATACAAAAATTGATTTTATATTTATTTTATGTCAGATTTTCAAGATATATTAAATATAAAAATAAATATTAATTTCATTTTAAAATATATACATCTTAAATATAGAAATAAACTGATACAATAAATAATAAATTTTATTAAAATAAATTCTAAATCATAAATTATATAAATTTTAAATTTAATTCAAATTACAAAATCTGACTTGTAAGTTGGGTTTGCTCCAGTTATATAAATAATAATACATCAATACATTTAATACCAATTGTATACAAAACCTACAGGAGAATTTTAAAATGTTAGAAAACTAGTTTGTAAAAGTTGTCATCGCATAGACTCACCTTTTATATCCATTTTGAAACGAAGAATGCAGAGGAATAGGGCGATGGAAGTGAAATCTCAAATAAGACGAATGGAGGCTTACTTTTTATAGTCACAAAGCTCTCCTAATTCTACATCACAAAAACAAAGAAAAAGAGAAAAGGAAGATAGAAATCATAATAAGGGAAGTATCTTATTATTTTCTCATTGTATTAATTTCTTCCTATTAAATTAATTTTAACTGTGAAAACTTTTTCCTGATTATGTTTTGTCTTTTGTAAACGAACATATACTTCCATTATAAAGCCTGTATAAATATATTTATGCTTTTAAATTGAGAATATTAGCATTTTATTATTTGTATCAAAATGAAGGGTGGCCAGTGGGAATTTTTGGTCGATAATCACATGCAGATCCACGGGCAAGAAAATCATAAAGTAAAATGCTTTTTCACTTGTTATATAATTTTGGCATCAACCAAAGACAAGATTGGCATCTGGTTGTCTTTATATATGAGGAAAGAATTGTTCACTTCAGAAATTCCATTCCAATGTTATTTGAGATTAGAATAAAACTATTTATATTTTTATTACATATTTTAATTTGTTTCTACACTTTTATTATTACAGAGTTTTATGATTACTTTTTTTTATTAATTGATTAGATAATTTACTGGATAAACTTAATTTGCAGATGAATTTAATAGTCTTATATTAATTTTTGCTATCCATAGTTATATTATGCATTAAGAATAATTAACAATAATAAATAAACATAAATAAACAGTTGAACCTTTCAATTAGAACAATCTCCGGTATTCTAAATGAAAGCGTATTTCAATTCATCATTAGAAATAAAATAGATAAAAACTATTTAATTTTCTAATTGTAAAACACTTTAAGTTTCCTCTTAAAGAGATAAAGAAAAAATAAACAAAAATAATATGTATATGCTCACATATGACCATAAACCCTTTATATAATTTTTTTTGTCGATTACTTATTCTAAAAAATCAATATTCCTACATCAAATTAAAATAATAGATATAGCATTTACACAGTGAATATTTTATAATATTACTCTCTATATATAATTAATTAATTAGATCACTTTAATACTTTAACTAATAATAAAATTATCCTAACACATTTAATTATTATTAATAATATATATATTATTTCATGTGTTAGATTTTATGAGCTTATTTCATGTCTTGAATATATTTAAAAGCTTTGTTCTTTGATTATATATATAGAACCAAAACAATCTTTAATTGCATTAATCGCAACTAAATATAACAATGATCACTAATGTTGACATAACCAAATGGCATAAACGCGTCAAGAAATATGTACTATGAAAGTTAAATGAAAGTGACCTGTACACATTTATTTTCAACTCATCTTTACTTTATCACAATGAGATCAATATAATAGTATTAATATACAAAGTGTAATTTATGAATAATAAACTACATATTCATAAAACCAAATATGTCCAAAAGACAATGTATACATACATAAAAATAAAACATAGAATACAAAAAACATAAAAATTACTAACTCCCATTAAACCAAACATTTCTCAAACAGAAAAAACACCCATATGAGCACATGCTCATGAAAGACTTCGGATGGAAGTCCGTTAGTAAGATGATCAACTATCATGGAGTTTCTCCTTTGTTTTATGAAAAGTTGTCCATTTTATATTTCTTTAACAATTAGGAACTTGATGTCAATTTGTTTTGATTTGCTCGAACTCCTATTGTTTTTATAATACAATCTAGTTGATTTGCTCTTATAGTATAACTTAAGTGGTCTTTCAATTCCTTCCACAATGTGCAGCCTTGTGACAAAGTTCTTCATCCATATTTTTTGATTTGATATGTCTCATAGCACTAGTAAATAATCGCATTTTTAACTCACACATTACGCTTCGGTTCTAGAAAAACAGAAGCATATCAAAACGCAGTGGCAGTTTCGTAATTTTTAGAACACTATGTGCCTCAGTTGTCAAGCAGCTGATGTCTAAAAGGAATACTGCCTCGGTTGGCAGGGTGAACCGAGGCATAAACCCCACAGATATTACACTAATAAGACCTTTCACATGTATCTTTCTGGTGGCAAAGATATTGCCTCGGTCGACAAGATGGATTGAGGCATATAAGCCTTCCTAACAAGCGAAAGAGGAAATATTTTCCCAAATGCCTCATTCAAGCCAGGAAAACCTAGCGCCTCTCCTCCTCTCCTTTTTCTTGACGATGCTACTATGGCTAAGAGATTATCCGCGGAGTCGAAGAGAACATTGTCGGGCTTGATGTCATAGTGGGCCACGCCCATGCGATGGCAATGGGCCAGGCTTTCAAGAAGGCTCTTGATGAGAACGATCGCCTTGATCTCGAAGATGGGGTCGTTAACGATGTGGTCGAAGAGCGTGTGGGGCTGGCAGAGGTCCATGACGATGGAGAGAGAATCGTCGTCCTCGAAGACATTGAAGATTTGAAGAATGTTAGGATGAGGAGAGAGAAGGGTCATGAATTTTGGTTCGTTCTGGAGACACTCACGGTCGGTGGAATCGGCGAGAAGAGACTTGTCGATGACCTTGCAAGCGTAGGGTTTGTTGGAGAGAGGGTGGAAACAACGGAAGATGGTCGTGAAGCGTCCACGACCGATCTCCTCGTTTACCTGGTACTGCGTCTTCAGTGCTTCGCACATTCTTCATTCGACATGCTTGATATGCTTGACATGGGCCAAATTATTAAATCATCCATCACCATGTAAGTTACTACTTCTTTCACAAAACCACTACTGTCGGCAGAAATTTCATTTGCAACCTTTTCACCAACAAAAATCATTTGTGAGTTCATAGAATTGCCACAATAGTAATCAGGACAACGAGTGGTGTTATCAGATGTGACGTGACCATAGTGACTTGGGCAGTGGTAGAACACATTCGTGGAGTTGTTGGAAGAACTGTCATTAACTGAAGGAAGAAGACCAGAGATTCGTGAAAAAACGGAGGCACTTGGTTTCAACAGTAGATCCTTATGTAGGTCTGGTTGCATGTAAGTTTTATTCAGATTCTCAACACTTTGTTAGAGATTTGCTAAGCAATCGACCATTTGATTCTTGTTGAAAATCCTTATGACAGTATCGATGGGCAAGCAGAGCAAGTTAAAGAAAAAGCAGAGCAACCTGGTACTGCGTCTTCAGCGCTTCA